TCCCGCGCGGCTTTATCCAGGCGGGCGGCGAGCATCCCCGAGGAGGGAGACTGCCCCATCGGTCTCCGCCGTGCCGGCCTGTCGGGACAGGGACCCCTTCGGCGTCCCGCTAGGCCGTCTCCTGGCGCGGGAGCTCCGTCGTGAGCGCCGGGCTGCTCTGAGGCACCTGCCCGCGGGCAGAAAGAGCGACAAGAGGCTAAGGTGGGCACGGTGAAGCCCGTGACTCTTACGATGGTTTTAAATAACGCTTAACGGTGTTGCAGAATCGGTAATTAAGCCAAGATTAATTTATGCTTGTTCAGAACAACATAACGCCGTCTCCTGAGTGTGCGTGCACTGCAGCGCCTCTGCAAACTGGCAGGGACTAAAAATCAAAATACTTTGCCGCCGTAGTCCCGGCCGCGGCCTGTGCTAGCAGTGCCCACGTTCTCGCCAGCAAACCTGCGTGGCTGCGGTGGTGACGCGGAGCCTCCGGAGCGCACGTGAACAACCCCTGGCCTCAGTTTAAGGTAATCCAGCCGTCAGTCGAGGCACCTGAGCTGGTGTAACCGGGTGCTGTGAAGACCCTGTAGACCCATAACTGTAAACTGAGGGGTAAAGGTGAATATTTGCTAAAATTTAGTTGTTTGTAAAGCACAGTAAGCAAAGCACCAAGTCAATGACAGAGAGAAGCAGAAACCTCTCTCTGCTCAGGTATTGCAGCTGCCAGGTGAGTGGTCTGTTTTCTGAGGCACAGATCACCGCCTCTCCTCAGCAATTGCTTCAGACACGGACCGCTGCATTTTTAAAGAAATAAGTATGTGGAATTATTCGAGAAATATTGCTACAGTAGGCAATTTCAGTCAGAAAAGCATGCGGCTGAATGTGATACGCAGGCAAAGCTCATGCTGCACGTCGGCAGACTGCAAAGTGTCTTTGCCATATTGTACCCAGCAAGCCTCAATCAACATGCTCAATCAAAGGCTGCTAGCCCTTATCAAGAACAGCAGACTACAGTAAGTTTGGTAAGCTGAACATTTCTTCTAAAGATTTTTTTTCATCTTAAAGCCAAAAAGTATTTGGCATGATTCTCAAAAAGTTCTTGTATCCTCTCCCTCCCCTGTCCTTTAGCACTCCCATAAAATCTTTTGCTTCCTTTCTTCATGGTTTTTCTGGGAAGCTATTTTGGCATAAGCTCACGCATTTAACATTTCAAAGAAACTGGTTTAGCTCTGGCAGCAATCATTTTTACGTTTAAAAATACTACAGGAATTAAAAGCTCAAAGTTTAAGACATTCAAAATATCATACGTATTCTATAATATATATTATAATGGTTTGTCACATGGTAATATAGATCACGATAAGGACAGCAGAGTAAATCTGCAAAAGCAAACTCTGGCATTATGAACCCACATACTTTCTATTAACTTTAATTTTTACTAGATTGTTTGAAGATTATAGTTTGTTATTAGCATTTAATACAGTCAAAATCTAAGTAAACATACTGAATTAGACTTAGAAATTTTTATTTGAAAGGAAGGAATGGGGAAAGTGTTTAGCCATCACATTTCAGCCACCACTTTATATGAAATATTATGCATCTCCACCAAGAACAGTTGACTCAATAGAGCATTTCAAGTGATCTTCCCAGGCCAATGGAGTGGGAAACATGAGAATGAAAGACAAATGAGAGCAGCTCAGATATATATTGCAGACAATGAGTGTGGCTTTTTACTGTGTTTCAAGTGAAGATGCCCCAGTAAATCATTTTGCACCCTGCTTGTTCTGACAACATTCCTTTTCTTGGGTGTTGTAATTCAAATTCCAAATTTTTATTTTAGATAAAAGACCCAAGTCATGATCCAGAGATCACTAATATTCTCATTCTTTAAATGTCTCTTTAACCTTAGTGTATTTCCCACCTATTAGGGGAATTTAACCTTTTGAATTTTATTCTTCTGTCTGCATGCAAAATCTTCTTCAGGCTCTTACACTTCTGTGACTCAAATTGGTATTTTAAGCTCCAAGACTAAGCTTTTAAAACATTGAGACTGTTTCATTAAATAAGCTTAAATCCAAATGAAAACATCTGGATTTCAGTTTCCTGACCTATTTCAACAGAAAGAATGGAAACTTCTAAACAATAAACTATCAGACAGTTTGCATTTGGGTTTAGTCAGTTTCTTCACTTTGACCAAATACACTGTGAAGCATTTGATAATTCTGTATTAATGGGACTTGTTTACTGATACGATTAAGTACTTTTAATACTCCTGCAATTCCTAATGTTAGCATTTACTTCAGCTGTTATAACTGAGTAAGATACCTCTGTCAACTAAGTATACAGCCTCTTTTCATATGGTTACTTGTATACTAAAGCCATACAAATCTCACTGGGGTGGGGAAAAACTGCTTCCCCTCCTCAACAAGGAGAAGAGAAAAGTGACTTAAAATCAAACTATACATGTCCCTGAAATCTAGAAGGAGGGATTACAAATTCTTTTTGTAATTTGCCTAGATTCAGTTTGCTGATTTTCTTTGATACGTCAAACCAAGTTTCACTGCGCAGCCTTTAGGATATACCTTCAGCCGCCAGCTTCACAACGAAACACTTTTGTAACCTGTTGAAAAATGCCCTTTTGTATGAGGGACTTCACTTATGTAAGTGTACTTCTTTCTACCGTACAAGGAAAAGAATACCATTATTAGCTGTTAAGATAGAAGCAGGTAATCACGTCACTTCACTACTGCATTAGCTTGTTATTCTCATTTTTGGGAGGGAGGGTGAGGCAGGGAATAAGTCACTAGCCAGTTTTTCCATCTCCCCAAACTCTGAAATTATTGAAAGAAAAAAAAAGAAGAATCCACTTTAATTTACTTTTCTGTTAGTGTGCTGCATCATTCACTCTCAATTAAGTTAGCAATTAATTACAAGGATTGCATCAGTAGCAGACACTTAATCTTTCTGAAATATATTTTTAAGTCACCATAAAGAGTATTACTGTGAGCCATTACATCCTACAAATGTTTCATAAACAATAACTTCTTAAACCAGTAATTAAGAAGTTAAGAGACCATAAAGGGGAGTAGTTTTTTTCATAACTTTATTCTTTTCCTTTTTACATGTGTTACTAATTAAAGTGTTTTTAAGAATTTTTCAAAGTCCTGTATAGAAGCTTTGGCAATCTCTGTACAAAACACCTCATCGGGCAAGGATACTAGCTGGTCCAGAGAGATGTAGCTGGGCTGTGCTGGGTCATACTGGGCTCTTCCCAAGAATGTAAGAAACATATGTCTCTCTTTGATTCGTAATAGCTTTGAGTTGAAAACCTAAGAAAGGAAGAAAGGGAAGAATCTTTTAGGTTGTCTGAATTTCAGACTCTGATGAATCTAAAAAAAGAGCATTTTTTAGACAAACTGAAGATCTAGGAAGACAACAAATAATTTGCATCTTTTCTTCTCATTTATGTCAAACACCAGGTAGGTTACATTTATATATAAATTATCTAAATTCTAAATAAATGCTTCAATACAATATGCTGAGGTACACACACAAGGGAAATCAGGGAGTGAT